TAAGACAGCATGCAGGCAGACATGTTGCTAGAGGAGGAGCTGAGGGTTCTTACATCTTGATCCCACAGGCAACAGGCATTGGTCTGAGACACTGGTCATATCTTGAGCACAGGGTACCTCAAAGCCTGCTCCAACAATAGTACACTTCAACAAGGCCACACATACTCCAATAAAGCTGCACCTCCTAATAGTGACATTTCTATAGGCTTATGAGGACCAATTACACTCAAACTACCATAAAAAAACTATCTGTAAGTTTTCCTGATGGACAGAAAAGTAAACAACATTTTGGGACTACTACTTATAGGTAAGTGCTTGCACAAATATTGTCTCCACACACAGGGGTGGGACTAGGCCCTATCCCAAAGTATTCAATAGACTCTGATGACCACCTATGGAAGGCCTCAGCCTCCAGGGGGAGCAGAAAGGGTATGTGATTGATAGGGTTTTAGTTGGGGGGGGTGGTAGAGGAGGAGGGGAGGGAGAGGGAACTGGGATTGACATGTAAAACAATCTTGTTTTTAATTCAAATTTTAAAAATCTGCAAAATAAATAAATAAACAAACAAATATTGTCTCCAGGAATTCCTAAGTATCCTCTTTACAAATGCCTCTGAAAATGAGGTACAGAAAAGTAAAGTGTATCCAATGTTCTGAATGATGACACATCAGGAACTTAAAAAGGTGGTTTTTGTCATATTTTGGCTTTGGTGTTTCATGTAGATAGATACAACCTCTCATAGCATGATAGTTATCTTCCATTTCCCTTCACTCAGAACATAGTCCACTCAGGAGTATGGGGGAGAAAGAATTAGAAAAGAACTATAGACATTATGCTTCAATGGTCCTCTTTTCTATACTCCATGTGTCTTTAAAAACTGAAGGTGATCAATGTGACTGAGGAAAATCTCTAAATGCCAAAAGCTACAGTGTCCCCAAGCACATCTAACACCATGCATGGGCCTGCTCTGGTCAGCTAACTGGCTGACCTCTCTGGCCCTGTGTTTAGAACGGTCCATTCCAGTCTAGATGCACTGGCATCATCAAGCTGAAGTTTCCAATAACTTGTATGGAAAGTCTTCTTAGTTTCATTTTGCTCTGGGTATCATACATCGGAGAACTTGTTCTTTCTGTATGGCTAGTGATTTGGGTAAGGCATTAGGGGGCATGTAAAAGCTAGTGAGAGTTGCAGTCCCTTCAACTGGGAGCCCTAGGAAGGTTGAGTCTACTGGAACTCAGTCCTCCAGCCATGTCATAACCATTGCCACGTAAAACAAGAGTGGCTGTGATTACATGAAAGAGGTCCTGATGAGATAAGGCCTTACAGGAGACAGAGAAGATCATGAGACCCTCTCCTGAGAGTCTAGACACTCAGTTCTGTAACCTACCCCAGCTGAATATGACTCTTCCCCAGTTGGGTATTGGGCTGGGCATGTAAGAGTGAATAGGAAGTAGAAGGTTGACTAGGATTGGGACTTCAGGGAGGAAGCTTTCCTGAGTCATCACCCATCCTGGTGTGTACTTTTCAGTGACAAAATTGCCCGAGAGTCACCCATGCACCTGTAGATAACCCTCACCTATGATTCTGTAAGTAATCCTCATAAGCTCATTGGTCACCAATGTGGACTGGGATGGAATGACATTATGTCTCCCCCAGGAAAAGTAACACAGTAGTGTCAGGGGTATATGGCTGTCTGAAATAGAAGAACGTGGATTTCGAAACAGTAAATATCCTGGGGAGAACTTTATGAGTTGGATATACTGAAAAGATCTATGCAGGCCGCTGGGGTGGGCAGGAGTCTTCAACAGTCTTACCAAGTTGCATGGGTGCAACCACTTAAGTTGGACTTAAGGCCAACTCTATAAGAGGAAGCATATGCCTGGTATTGCAAATTTGGCCAAGGGCCCAGGGATTGAGGAACTTACAACCACCAAGTAAACTTACTACTAATTTTTTATAAAGTGATAGAGTAACAAACTGCCCTCTAAATTTGTATCTGCCTACATGCAGATTAGTACAGTTCTCAGACCTATTCAGAAAGTGTCTTTGAGCAATGGATGGTGGTTAATTAGAAACTCACAGCTGGTCAAAGTGCAAAACTTGAAGCTGCCCTGGGGACTTCAGCTTGGCTTGGTCTTGTTGATACTCTCCACTCAAATTTGCTTCTGTCCATCCTCTGTTCACCCCTCTTCACCTGCCATCCAGATATCCATCCACTCCTTCATGTGAACCCAGTCCTGACCTTTTTGCTCTGAAGTTGGACCCAACTCTATAGCTTCTTTCTCAATCCTGTGGCCTTGCAGTGGCTTGACTCACAGCCAGCATAGTTTCTCCAGTTCTGTTGGATTCATGATTTTATCTATACAGAGATTCTTGAAGTCCTGTCAGTTTCTTAGTTTTGGCTTCTCAGGCCTCCTTGAATCTCTTTGAAACTCCTGTTTTAACCCTTTGAAGTCATTCCATAACAAATATATATATTATATATTCCCACACACACATACACACACACCCATATATGAAGATATATATATATATGTATATATATATTATGTGATATGTAGTATGATGTGATTTGAGAATTAATGTTAGTAATAAAATTAGAATATTCACCTCAATCAAAGTAAAGTGGGACTGTCTGGCCAATTGCTGCCTTTGAAATTGCTGCAGTTTGCCAATTTATTCTTATTCAATAAATTCTGACATTATGGAATGACACAAACATGTTCCTTGTTTCTGACATAGCACACTCATAACACTTCCTATACACCCAGAGTTTAAAATGTGAACTGTAAACATCAGACACAATATTCTCCAAGAACCAAGATCGTGTATGAAGAAAGACTGAAGTCCAAACCATCCTCGGGCTGTAAGGAAACAGAATCACTTCACATGTACAGTCACTGTAATCCAGGCACGTGTAACTTATGTGTTAATGTTTTTTGTTCCTGTGGTTAAAGGTAGCTGTCCTAAGCAATTTGAATCATTCCTGGTGCTTAAAGAATGAGGATATTGAATAAAAATTTTCACTGATAAAGTCTAAGTTTGATAAACATAGAATAAATTAATGTATAACTTCAATGAAAAGCCTTAACATGGAACTGAAGCTGAAATTTTTAAAAACTGTGCAGTTATTATGGGGTCAGTTGTCTTTTGTAACTGCATGTTTTAACAATCAGTTAAACATGACACTAGACCCTTGAAGTCCTACAATATACTGCAGCATTCAAACACAAGCAAGAAGGTAAAATGAAATCCAGAGTGTCATGGCCCTTACACTATTTAAGCTTAAATAAATACAATCTATCCCCCAAGCCCTCTATGAACTCTCAAATGAGTATTTGATTTGTCTTCCTTGCTATCAAACACCAACTAGCAAATGCTTTACAACTTTCATGACTTCACTTAACCTGTAACTACTCACCACCCAAGATGTTCCAGGTACCGTGGCAGTGATTCCCTGTACTCAGTCTCCATGAGAAAATTTAGTTCCCCGTGGATCACTACAGGTGACTGTCTGGCTGGGAGCCAGGATTTCTCTCAAAGCAGGGGAAGATGAAGCAAGTGAGGAAGTGGGAGGATGATAATGAGAACAGTGATGAAGCCAAGTCCAGAAATCAGCAAGGTGGTGATGCTGTACACAGATGACACCAAAGCAAAACCCATAAAACCAGCAAAGAACCATTGGCAGAGGCAGGCAGATCTCTGTGAGTTTGAGGCCAGTCTGGTCTACAGAACGAGTGCCAGGATAGTCTCCAAAGCTACACAGAGAAACCCTGTCTTAAAAAGAAAGAAAGAGAGAGAAAGAGAGAGAGAGAGAGAGAGAGAGAGAGAGAGAGAGAGAGAGAGAGAGAGAGAGAGAGAGAATGAAAGAAGGAAGGAAGGGAGGGAGGGAGGTAGGGAGGGAGGGAGGAAGGAAGGAAGGAAGGAAGGAAGGAAGGAAGGAAAGAAAGAAATATAATGGATCTTAGTATCAAAGAGCTGGGACCTTGGATTAGACAGAATTGAATTCCAGCTCTGCCATAGATACAACACTACTTTGATCAAGCAACCCTTTGATTTGTTTGTTTCAGTCAATTCATTAGAAAAAAATGATAAACTTCTTAAGGGTTCTGTGATCATTTAAATTAAGCTTCTCATACTCAGAGAAACATTGGGTAGAGAGTTGTTGTGGGATTTTCTTTGTCCCACTAGGTTCCTCACACTCTTCTCAGTCCCAAATAAACAGTTGGCCAGTGGCTAGGGCTTCTTATTAGCTAGCTCTGTCTTAATTATTAACCCATAACTACTAATCTACATATTTCTACATGGTCTTATCTCCAGAGAATGCCTGGTTCGTCCTGTCTTCATGGTCTCTACATGATGACTGTTTGAACTTACTCTCTGCCTTCCTTTCCCAGAATTCTCCTCATCTCCTAGTCCCACCTATCTTCATGCTTCTATTGGCTATAGGACAAACAGTATTTTACTCATCAACCAATAAGAGAAACATATATACAGAAGGACATCCCCCATCATCTCCTCTTTTCTGTCTGACAATATTCTATCTTCTATCCTATCTTTGTGAGTCTAAAGTCTTATATGTAACTTACCTTTTATCATAACTAAGGAAAACTATAACCATAACTATCAAAGACCACAGAAGGATAAAATATGAACTCTAGAATTGACAGAGATATCTTGCTGCCTGTACAGTCACCCAAAGTTCTTCTGTAATGTTGGAGGTGTGTGTGTGTGTGTGTGTGTGTGTGTGTGAGAGAGAGAGAGAGAGAGAGAGAGAGAGAGAGAGAGAGAGAGAAACAATAATAACAACAAGCTGTTGTCTTACTGTTATTCTAGAAATCAGTGGGCAGTGGTATCACCTAATTCTCTAATGATAGTTTCTATGAAATTAGTGGATTATTCAAAGTGAATGGTTCTTTCTTTTGGTCCCTCTATAAATCGCTGATTCAAGCATATTTCGAGAGAAACTCTGTTTGCATTTTCTACTTAAGGTGTCTTACCTTAGCTCTGACTACCAGGTCCTCATGCTTATGGATTAGCTCCTTGTTGTCAGAAAGTGACGAACCTAGACTCTCTTCCTGCAGATCTCTTATCGTTTTCTGAAACCAACAAGTGACCTGGAAAAGAGGTGAGAAGAAAGGGCCAGTGCTTAGACGATCTGGACAGAGTATTAAAACTCAGATATAATTCTGCAACATTTCAAAACAAAGTATTTCAATTTCTTTCTACAAAAACTAATTTATTTATGAAGTTAATATCATCCAGGTTTTTAATGTCCTTATTTCAGCCTACCAATGCTTAATAGAAAAAAGACAAAATAATCCCAGAAAAGCATTGGGATAGCTCAGCAGCTACCTGGATTAGAAGGAGTGAGGAAAATGATCAAATATTCTTCAAAGAAGCAACAATGCATTCCTATGCAGTCCATAAATCATGCTTCCTTTTCAAATATAACATTCTTTCTATAGATAGACATGAATCTGAATATAGTAACATAGACCCAGTGGATATTGAACAGCATACATGAAATTACATTTCCAGCTTGGCATTGGTGGCGCATGCCTTTAATCCCAGCACTCGGGAGGCAGAGACAGGCAGATCTCTGTGAGTTCGAGGCCAGCCTGGTCTCCAGAGCGAGTACCAGGATAGGCTCCAAAGCTACACAGAGAAACCCTGTCTCAAAAAACCAAAAAAAAAAAAAAAGAAAAGAAAAGAAAAAAGAAATTGCATTTCCTACCATAAATAAAGAAAATACAAAAGTATTTTTGTTTGCTATCACTGGTAGAAATCTGTATTGAGAAACTAAATGGAAAATGTGTTAAAATTCTCCTGACTTTCTAAGAATATGACTCAATTTCATAAACAGCTGATTCATGACACATGCCACACAGTGTCAAAACAACCAATATCATAGAACTTGAAAACAGAAATAAATATTTTTCTTAATTTAATGTTTTTATTAATTAACTTTGGGAGAGTCCCACACAAACAAAAGAAGCATTCTACCACCAAGTCCCTGAAGTGTTGAATTTTCAGGGATGACAATTTTTAAGAGACACCATAACTTCATGTGAGACTTCTGACCAAAGGTTTCTGAACACAGGCCCCTCATATGCATTAAATGGATTACAGCTAGATTTACATGATCTGCTTCTGTTTAGTACTGTACCCTGAATCATCCCATAATAACTAGTTTTTAAGAGACTGCACTATAAACTAGATATTTTACTAGTTGGGTTGAGAGTATCATCTTTGTTTCTCTCAGTAAGTCCATAACAAGAGCAATATGATCATACAAATGTAGAGAAAAAGTAAATGAATTTGGAGAGATGAAGCAGCTTATCCAGAGACAGATGGTAAGCAGCAGAGACCTGCCCCAAGTATACACCATTCCAAAATCCATGCTCTTCCGCTGTGCCCCAGCGTACATATTCGTATGTACCTATAGTCTTTCAGCCTTGTTGTGTGGGGGATATTTGTTGCCAAACCTCAAGAATAAAAACTGGCAGCCTGTTCAAAATGGTGGGCACAGCCAAGATTCATACAGTATCTTTCTGCAGCCTGTTATCTTGTCTATGACAGCCATGGGCTTTCTTCCAACTCCTGCAACAGGAAGGAATCCAGGAAGCAGGAGGCTGAGGAAAAGGTGGTTAGGTCTGAAGTTCCAAGCTGAAAATGTCCGTCATACACTGCAGATGGCAGAGGTAGAGGCTCACCTGGAACAAGGTGCCCAGGACTACCAGGAGCTAATGTGGCAAAGCTGATCTCCAGAGAAGAAGGCTTGAACCAACTCAACATTTTCCAGCATAGAATAGACAGTATGTTATTAAAGAACTCTAAATATATACATATTGTAAATGTATACATATTGTAAATATATATATATATATATATATATATATATATATATATATTTACAATTCCTTAAAGCCATTTTCTGGTATCCAATTAGAACAAATGATAACTACAATGTGCTTACAAGGACACACAGAGGACACTTAATTAAGAACAAAAAAATTTATTTTATTTTTTTTCTGGATTTTCAAGACAGGGTTTCTCTGTGTAGTTTTGGAGCCTATCCTGGCACTCATTCTGGAGACCAGGCTGGCCTCGAACTCACAGAGATCCTCCTGCCTCTGCCTCCCGAGTGCTGGGGTTAAAGGCATGCGCCACCAACGCCCGGCTTTATTTTACATTTTTATAAAATAATTTTTCATGACAGTGCCAGTAACTGCTTATAGTCGTGACTAGAGGGGTGATCCCAGGTTTTCTTCAAAGAGATCATGAATATAACTAACTCTCAGAGACTATTCAGTTGTTAAGTACTGGGAGTAAGTGTTTTCTATTCCTAGCTAATGTCAGGGTGGGAGTAGACATCTCAAGAATGTTTTATCATGGGGCAGCTAATATGGAAGCTGAGTGAATGGAACATGGGTGCAAACAGGTGTCTACTAATCTCCATAAACAGGTGAGAAGCCTGAAGCCTCAGATAATCCTATTTAATTTGTGAGTCAAAAACTTGTCATCCAACACATGCCAGAGATGATGAAAGCTAGGAATAAGTGAGATGCTGGTTTTTGTTTGTTTTGGTTTTTATTTTTTTGACACAGCATCTTACTATATAGTTCTAGTTGGCCTGGAGCCTGATATGTAGACCAGGTGGGCTTCCAACTCACAGATCTCTGCCTGCCTCTGCTCCCAGTGTACTAGGGATTAAAGGTGCACATTGGGGCAACAACTTGTTTTGATTTTTAAATGGTATTGACTGACTTCATCCTATAGATTTGCCCGACACTATTTCTACCCTTAAAAGCTACTATTCCTACTGGGCAATGCCTCATAGGTAGAAAACTTCGGTGATATTCAGTATCTTCCATCACATATCTGCCTTTCAAAACATGCAGCCCTCTAGATCAACACATTTTTTTCTGACCAGATGCATTTCAGGAAGAAACACAACAAAGTTGGTATAAATGTTTGAAGTGAGCAGATCATTGTTAGCATGTTACAGCTCATCATGAGGCATTCAGACACAAGATCAGCCTCCTATATCAGGTTTACCACCTGTGCTGTGGGATACACACATCAGGCTTAGCGTCCTTCTCAGGCTAAAATAAGATACCCTAAATAACCACAAGAGAATCCACTGATGCTTAGTCAATCGTTTGTTACATCCCACAAGTCGTTTCTACAGACAGCTGCACAGCTATTCCAAGGGTTCTTTTTATAAGCTTTTTAATTGCATCAGTTGCTGTCCAAAGAGCCTGAGTGGTGAGTTCAGCCAATAGGCACCTCTGCAGAATAGTGCCACAAAAGAGGCATGAGAGAGAGAAAAAAAAAAAAAACACTCAGGACACAATGAAAACTGGTTCTGAGTATCAATCAGTAGGATACAGGGAGAAATGAAAACTATTCTTCACCCTTCTCAGCCCCTACCATCAGTCCTCAGCTGATGTACTTATGATCACTCTATTGGTTGTCATGGCTTCTATGTCTTAGAGGAGGCAGGATGAAATCAGAGAATATACGGGACAGATCTTTTGGGTGACTGAGACAGCCATCAGAAAGTGAAGAGAGACTGAAGCAGGTAAACAAAGATACAAAAGGAAGGAAGGAAAGAAGGAAGGAAGGAAGGAAGGAAGGAAGGAAGGAAGGAACTGGGATGTTAATGAAAATCAAGAATTATCTCAGAAGTTAAAGAAGAGTCACAGAACAGTTCTACCAAGTAGGTAGACTTGCACTGCCCAATAGAGTAGCCACCACCACTAGCTGGACTATAGTTAGTCCTACCTGAAAAGCACTGTGAATATAAATTGCATATCAGAAATCATGTGTTTTGGGTATTACAAAAAGTGCAAATATTGCTTTGGAATTTTGTGTTCATTATCTATCAAAATTATATTTGGATATGATGAGTTAAACAATATATATTATTTTTTACTGCTATGTGACTTCTTAAATACTTCTCTCTCTCTTTTTTACTCCTCTAATGGCTACTGAGATATTTAAAATCATATGTATCCACTGCATTATATTTTTCTTTAGTTGGCTATCCTAGTCAAGGGAGTTTGAAATATCTTTAGTTGTTAAGTGTAAATTTGAAGACTGAGTCAGATTTAGCTAAGGAGAATTTAAACAGCAGAGCCAGGAGAAGGGTAAAGTGAGGTTATCAGTAAACATTTAGGAACTTCCTGGTAGGGGTGAGGAAGCCTTCTGCAGAAGTTGAGCTCACCAGTTAAGCATTGAAAGATGGCTTTAGGGAGCACAGGAGCAGCAGAGGTGTTCATTGGCTTAGAAGAAAATTCTCCTTTCTTTGATTGGAAGAGGTGTGGTTCTTTACAGTGGGGAACTGAAGGTGTGTAAGAGTTGAAGGAAGGAATGAACCAGACTAAGAGGGAAGTTGAAGAATGCTGTAAGTGCTTGCTAGCCTTGGACAAGGGAGGGCTATTTTTTATTAACTGAACATTCTCCCAACCACTCCTACTGAAAGCAACAAATGAAGAAAGTAAGAGAAGAGGGTGGTAAGCTTCCCAGAGGCATCAGGCACTACTCTATGTACCTTGTACACACCTCAGCCAATCTCCACCCTCTTCCTGTGATTGAGACAGCAAAAGATAAAAACAGACATGAGAATGCAAGGCATTTATTTGCCCAAGTTCACGCAGTCAGCAAAGAAGAAATTCAGTTGGGAGCAGTTAAGACCATGGTTTCACTCCTGCTTTCTGATCCAGTACTTATCTTTCCTCCCCATCACCTCCTTCTACTGAAACAAAGGATTCTTATGAGCATCCTTAGAAAAAAAACCTGTAGGGTGGGGCTGGAGCCATAGGGTCTGATTCTAACATGAAAGTACCATCTGGGGGCTCCATAGAAACTGCAGTTAGAGAAGATAATAGAAGCCTGAGTCAAGCTGTCAGAGGGCAGTGAGGATGTGACAGCCATGGGCAGAGCTGACAGCCAGAAAGCACACAGACTGAGAATTCACAGTCTAAAACACAGAGGACAAACAACAGAAAATGTTCTGTGAAGGTCAAAGGTTTGGAAATGAAAAAGGTGAAGGGTTGTGAAAGCCTGAAGCCCTGCACTGACTGCCATGAGCCACATCTCTCTCCTCTGC